AGTTAATTAAGCGCTAGATCCTTACTATGATGTTTGTGATGTTATCGGCTGAGTGTGTATCCACACCGGGCAAGCTTGAAAAATATGCCTGGCCACGGTGGGAATCGAACCTACGACCTTTGGAATACTAGCCCAATGATCTGCCAGCTGAGCTATGCGGTAAGGTCGGTTCGAGTATGTGATATTTCGGAACTGAGTTTAGTTCCTTCGACATCAATGTAATCTAAAAATCATGATTTTTTGTGTTGGTGTTGTGTACCCAGGTGAATATGAGGTTTGTGATGTTACTCTGAGTGTGTATCCACACCCGGCAAGCTTGAAAAATATGCCTGGCCACGGTGGGAATCGAACCTATATGAACTTTGGAATACTAGATTACATTGATGTCAAAGGAACTAAACTCAGTTCCGAAATATCCGCATATACTCGAACCGACCTGACTGCGTAGCTCAGTTGGCAGAGCATTGGGCTAGTAATCCAAATGTCGTAGGTTCGGTTCCCATCGTGGCCAGGCATATTTTTCAAGTTTGCCCGGTGTGGATATACACTCAAAGTAACATCACAAACATCATATTCACCTTAGTACATAATACAACGCCAACACAGAAAAAATCAAGATCCCTTACTAGTTGGTCACAACTATTGTGATGTACAAGCGTACGAAAAACAGCCTAAAGCCCATTATTGCTAAAATACAAATAATACAATAATTATGCATTTATTTTGTTATTTTTGTAATTGTAACATTACAAATTTTACAGAAAATTTCTAGCCTTCGACCCAGGTTCCCAGAAAGAAAAAAATTTTTCCACCCCTGCTCTGCGATATCGATAAATTTTGAAAATACATGAATATAAATTTGGTCGACAAAATTGCAAGTGTGAACCAGGCTTAAAGGCTGGGTTACATTTAGGGTTAAGGTAGCCTCATAAACACATAAACATTGACCTTGGCACATAGGGCTAACATATCCCTGAGGAAACTTAACCATGAACTCACCTGCATTCATGAGCAGGTGACACCCACATTTTGGAATCATCACCTGCATAATTAAAACCGAAAAATTGAAACTGATCACACGCATAATCAGATGATAATTTTGTAGGAGCGGAGGCTACAGCCTTGCGTTTAAAACATGATCTCAAAGTACATTCTCTATTCTGTGGTAGAACCATAGAAGATAGATATTTATTTTGTTTAGTAATTCGACCAGTCGGTTGCGACTTTACGAAACTTTGCGAAACTTTTATTTGACCCAGTAGTCTGTAACTTCATTCTAAATACATTTCAAGACTTCACATTTACATATTTTAAACAAGAACCAGGGCCGTAGGCCTGCCCCCCGGGTTCCTACGCCTCTGACAAGAACAGATAGATTGAAATGTTCTCTTTTTGGCTACAAAAGCTAGTTATTATTGGCATTGTGGTTAATGTTACAGTGTTTCAGTTTTTTGGTATCAATGCACTTGCAATTTAGGTACTTAGGGTTCACATCTCTGTTTATATGATCTTAGATGGGTGTGATTGGACAGTTGCCAAGATTCTAGCTGCTCATATTATAAACTTGCTGAATGTTTATTATGATTCAACCTCCATCCTGCCTAGGTGGGACCCTGATAGTTACCTTATATTTATAGTGAAAAATTCCCATAATCGTTAGAGGGGACAAACTTGCATTCTGTGCATGTGTAAATGCATTTCTGTAAAAAATATGACATCAAGCACTTAGAATGTTAGATGCAATTGATTTCATTCCATAGCAATGTTTTTGTCCAGATATTTAAACATGCCTGGGGGAGTCTTGGCTAGAAATGAAATGTCAACTGAGATTGGGAAGAGGTTTAAGCGGGGGGTGTGGGTGCTATCTGATAATTTATTTTGTCCTTGGCAGGGCCATGGCTTCAATAGTAGCCTGCAAAAAGGTGTTTATTCAGGTGGGCCTAGGTTACTAGGCTACTAGGCCCACCTGAATAAACGCCTGTTCGCAGGCTACTTCAATATGGGGCCAAATTTTGCTAAGTGCTGTTTTATAAAAACTTGAAGTGGCATATGCATACATGTGTTACAATTCATAAACATATGGATTGTGGTATAAGTGACTGCTATTTTAGTGCCCTTTCTGCAAATGTAGCATCTATGGATGCTGCAAAAGGCTACTGCTACTTGCCCATTTGTAGATGTAGAATACAATTACTTTAGGTGTTGCAATCATATTTTAATTAATTAGGAGAGGGGGTATGAATTTTACACATTATATAGCATTGAATGACATTTCTAGAAAACCACCCCCCTTTTCTTCTCCTCTTATAATTTAATTAACGATCAATCCTTAAATGTAATTGTCTCGTTATAATTTCACTTGCATTTGAGTCAGAATGTTTTCAGTTTGAACAGGCTGGAAATTTCATTGCATAATCACATGTTACAGTACCAGTGGTACTAATGAAAGGCCAAAATCACTTTTTGTATGTGCATGGCTACTCATAGTCGTAGGCAATGTGCAAAATTGTATGCATAATTAAGTAGTGTTGTGAGACCTATAGATGTCTCCAAATATTCATGGTTTTAGCCATTATATATAAACAAAGCTAATAAAATACATACAATGATTGTACTCATGGGTATATTTACTTAATGCATAGAGAACTTGGTCGTTTTCCATTATAAACACGGTCGGAAGACAGAACGGTCAAATTGTTGAATCGAACACAAAACGTTTGGGCTTCTGACCGGAACATTTAGATAGAATTAGAATGAGGTCCGTTTTCGCTACATATTTGAGAAACAGACCAGATCTTTCCACTGATACGGAGAAAAAAATTCGGGTCTGACCGGTCAGGCCATTAAATGGAAAGCGCCCTTGATCTATCAGATAACATATACTGTAGCTTCACATAAAGAATGTTTTAAAACGTTTGCCAAGCTTGCCAATAGAAAGCAGCTAGCATGTGCCCTCGGCGAATTCTATAGCTGCCAGTTACTGCGTGTATGATAAATCATACTAACATTTTCAGTGTATGTTAAAAAACAAAAATTAAAAGAGACTTAAAATGAAGTATGAAATACAGGGGCACCCAGAATGTGGCTCTATCATAGAGCCTGACACGCAGGGTACCCAGAAGGGGACAATTTTCCCCAGACCTTGCTAAAGGATGCCCCTTAAAAGTAAAGTGAATCATATGTACACATAGCTGCCAATTAATAAGTCTCCCAGAATGCAGTATATCATTCCTGAAACCCAATGTCAACATAGGAACAAGATTGTTGACATTAAATTTCAAAACTTTTCCTGGGGACAGCATGCATCCCTAATGAGGTGAGCTGGCCGTTTTATTCAAACTTGATTACTTCAATACTTCGCTTTTATATACTTTGTAGTGATGGATCCCATTCTGTTGTATCACCATTTCATTTATCCTGGCTTGCTTCGCTGGAATTTCTTAAGCATTTCAAGGGAAAGGTTGCACTATTTAATTTGCATGATTTATAATTTTTCTTTCAATGACAAACGGCGCTTCATTGGCTCATCCATTGCATGTTTTGGGTTGAACTTGCAGATTCTGTTGAGAAGAAGATTGATTTCCGGCTTTGCTGCTGTCTTGCAATAAGGAACATGTACCTCTTGATTGCCTTCAGGTTTGTACAGTACCATACAATTCTTGGAATATATTGTTCTGATCAGTTAAATTGTAACTTAGAATTTGTTATTTGTAAATCTAGTGTATAGAATTCTCAGTGTAAAGTGGACACCAGTGTTTCAAGGGAGGACAGGTTAGTGTATAGGCCTTTTTTATTAGCTCATGTGTTTGCTGCAGCTTGATGTACATCATCTTCAGTAAATACAGTTGAGTGTGTACAGGAATGGCAAAACAAAGCATTGTCTTTTCAGAGTTGGACTCGTCTGATTGTTAACTGCAGATAACCCTGGCAAATGAGATGCCCATCAATCCTGATGATATTACCCATACCCTTATAGTGGCGTCATCTTATTGTGTATAGTATATATTTAGAAGCATGCAGTTGAATTCTTAATGTAGGAAGTTTTTGTGTTCATAAAGGATTCCTGTCTTTACATGCGCACATGGACTTAAAATAGATGGCAAGAATGTTAATTTAACATTATCCACAAAAACAAATAAGTAATTTGAAGTTGATCAAGAGGCAACTTGGTCCGGTTTGAAAAGCTTTCAGTTCAGTAATTATTCAATAACCCCATAAACTGTTGTCGTTGCATTTTGTGATGTCAAAATTCAAGTACTAGTCTCGGCTACAGTAATCCAGCGATTGCAGAATATTTATGGATGTTATGCAATATCGTGACCAATTAAGTAAGAATGTCCTCATAAATTGTAATTACCCTTCTTAAAATGTTAATCAATAATAGAAGTGTATTAACCCACAAATTAAGTGTATTGACGCAAATGTTTTGTTTGGTGACCATTGTCTCGTGTCCGTTGTTTCCATAGCCATTGTCTTTGACAATTTAAATATCTCCGAAATGCAATTTCTTGTCTTCTGGGGGGTTATTTAGGAGGCACAAAAACAACGTTTTCTGCCTCAGGCAAAAGTATTAACTTAGTTTTGCTTAGATGGTCATCTTCAAAGCAAATGCTCAATCGGAGATCGACTGCAGCAATTTGAGACTAATCGCTCTTTTCGCTTCAGGGGGTGGTGGGTATCATAACAGAGTCATAATATTGTGCACCACGTGTTAGCGCAGATTTTTTCCAAATTTTTGTAAATATAGTATTAGATGTTAAGCAAGGCCAGCTTGTTGAACGGATTTACACGAACGTAGGTAGCTTTATTCACACTTGATACATTTACATAATGCAAAAATACCTGTTGCAACGAGTTTCGGATGTTACGTCCTGTTTCCCACTCAAATTTACAAAAAACCTTTGCCTTGATTGAAACGCACGAATGGTTATGAGACGGTACCATAAGATTGAGTATAATAGCTGCATATTCCTCAGTTCTTACAGGTGCTCGACTTGAACCACATACTGCATAACGCCGCTGAAGACATACGTTCGCTGTGATTTCAAGGTAGGATCGATTATATCTTGTTTCCATTCTTTACTTACATTCTTTTAGTATATGCATGCTTAAAACTAATATGAAACCGACACAAACATTGCTATAGTAATGACTTTATAAATCGAACAACCCAATTGAAAGAGTGCTTATCGTTAACTGCAATTCGTGTGTGCCGCTACAAATATTACACTTTGCATGCATGCGAACCAATTTACGTACATTAATTTGATTTTAGTCGAATGATGCTGTGATTTGTTACATGTTAGCCATTGGCTATTTTTTTATCGCTATTCAAGTTAAGAATAAGTTCCGCAGAATCCTTAGCGGAAAAATATATGTGTATCAAGACTGGGAGATCATTAATGTAAAGTTAAAATAATAATGGCCCTAATATGGATCCCTGTGGAACTCCACAGACTATCTTTTCGGGTGTTGACGTCGTGCCATTGACAAAACACACTTGTTCCATATCAGAAATGTAGGATTCAAACCACTTTAATTCAATATTTGAAACTCCAAATTTAATCTTTCAAGTCGCGCAACTATGCGGATAAGGCAACTTTCGAACTGTCGTTGCCAGTGTTGGTAGTGTACGGCAATACTGTAAGTACAGCAATACTGAATATATACCCTCTAAATTCTCGACGAAGGGCCTTAGCAAGAAACGTCATTTGAATACATTTTTACAAAAGACCTAGTCCAGCTTTAAGTCGGTATAAACAATATGATATCAGTTTTCATATCTTTATTTTGTGTTTATTAGCTAGCCTGTTGAGTTTCCTACACGAATAGGGTTCAAAATTGTTTTGAGCAGCATTCTTGCATCCAATTAAGCATGTCACACTCATGATCTTTGGCCGAACCTAGAAGGCCGAATCCACGCAAATATGAATCATTTTTAGTAATCCCAACAAAAGACGCGCAGTGTTTCAATTCCATTTCAGAACCATCCTCAGAGATACGAAAAACCTGTTTCGGTCTAGATACCCCAAGACGCGAGTTCAAATCCCGCTCGAGCCAACGAATTTTTCGTTGGTCGATTGCAGTGCCAGAATAATATGAAACTGGTTGAATTGAGGTTTCATTAATGAGAAATGGTGCCCCATGTGGAAAGTCCCTGCGACGGAGGTTGATGGTGCCCACGTTGAATTTCACAACTAATTTGTGAGGATTTTAATTGAATAATATTCTTCATCTTGATATAAAACATAGTTCCTATCCCTACCAGTTTATAAATTTTCCTTTTGGACGCAGGCAGGCATTCATCCTTTTTTACAACTTGGGACAATTGGTTTTGTAATTGAATAGTGGTTAACCCGGGATTACGTAATTGTGATTGACGGATTTTTACAACAACAGCATTACATTTAACTGTGTTTTTAAACAACCGGTCCCTGTGTATGAAAACAACCTCATTTTTGCTTAAGGTGGCTCGATGAATCGCGACTGACAAAAATTATGCTATATGAGCAAACTCGCGTGACCATTCGTGTCCGCGTGAATATTAACGAAAATACTTACTGTGCATAGATGACTAACCCGAAGTTTAAAATTAGGGCCTGAATTTCAGGTTAATAGATGGCTTGACTTGGCGACTCGTCCGTGTTGCGGAAGCACGTTGCATGTCAAAGACATGTAGACCAAATAACTCAAAATGCTAAAGCGGTTCTAAACATTTGGAAACCTTGAACCAGGATCAAAGTTATCGGTCAGTGAAAATCGAAAAGTCGTACCGCCTACACCGACAAAGCAATAGGCTATTTTAGAGTAAATTTTGTACGCTATATGTTACCAAAACTGACATAATTTGAAAGAAAAAATATTAAAATAGATGATCATCCTGTTATCTGCTTCATAAAACCTTAAAATACGTTTAAAACAGTCAAACGTTTACACACCTGAAGTTTTTGAAAATTGTACCGAGCCACCTTAAATGAGTTTATCGTAGGCAAGGTAGAATATCTTTGGAGCAATCTCAGTAGTATATAAAGAGCTAAATGCGACGTTGTGAGCCAAGGGCTCTTTGGTCGGAGGGTAAATAAGATCTAAAAGGACCGCCTTTGGGTAATCCAATGAAGGTTACGCGACGAAAGGCCTTTTGCTTGAAACATCGTAGTTTTCTCCATGCTTTAAAGATCTATACTTTGCCTTCTCTATAAGATCTATACTATCCATGCAATCTACGTCTTGCTTCAAAGTGTGTCTTGAAACAGTACTGTGCTTGAAATTTGATACAGTGAATTCATCCAAAATGGTGTCCATTCCCCTTCCGACGTTTGACGCACCGTTTTCAAGTCCTTTCGAAGAAAAATTAACATCAGATGGCAAGTCGGCAACGGGGAAGATGACAATTTTCCCGGGGGTAAAAGTTGATGGCGTAGCTGGTGGTACGACGACAATTGGAGGGATCAGCAGCACAGTCAAGGTAACCAAAGCAATTTTTCCAGAGTTTGGCTACGGTAAAAGGCCGACGATATTTCATTGTTTTAGGTCACCTGAGATTATAAAACATAAAATAATGGACACTCCGTAAACTGATAACAATCTTTATTCTAGACGTAGGTTATTGAAGGGAAGATGGCTTTGAAACTCATTAGGATAACAATATAACTAATTAGTATTTTGCCAAATCCACCAATAGCAATTTCCAATTTACCCTATTGTTCGAGTCACGGATAGGTAACTTTCCTAAAACATTGCTATTATTGGTTAGTTGGGCAAAAATACAATACACCAGCATTATGAATAAACGTTGACGAACATGGATAATGAGTTATATCATACGGAGCCCCATAAGGGCCATAAATTTATCTGCTTCTTTTTTTTTAAATTCCGACTTTTTTTTTGAATTCCGACATTTTTTTTTGAATTCCGACTTTTTTTTTTGAATTCCGACTTTTTTTTTTCGAATTCCGACTTTTTTTTTCGAATTCCGACTTTTTTTTTAAAATTCCGACTTTTTTTAAAAATTCCGACTTTTTTTTAAAATTCCGACTTTTTTTTAAATTCCGACTTTTTTTTCGAATTCCGACTTTTTTTAAAAATTCCGACTTTTTTTAAAATTCCGACTTTTTTTTAAATTCCGACTTTTTTTTTCGAATTCCGACTTTTTTTTTCGAATTCCGACTTTTTTTAAAATTCCGACTTTTTTTAAAATTCCGACTTTTTTTTCGAATTCCGACTTTTTTTTTCGAATTCCGACTTTTTTTTGTTGACAAGATGGAAGCCTCGATAGAAGTAGAAGCAAACAGCGAAACTAGCCAGGTAATATTAATTTCATCATATTTGCATGCATGTATTGTCTTCGTAGTATAAATTAGTAATAATATGTATATATAATTGTACTATAGTTTATATAAAGTACGTACCGTGGCTCATTAGGGCCATCCATTAATACACAACACTTTTTAGCATGATCGCCAGTTATAACGCGCAATCGCAACATATATCGCGCAGTTGCGGCAGATTGGCGCGATCGCCAATTATAATACGCGATCGAAAGCTATGGCGCGCGATAGCAACTTATAAAGCGCTATCGCAACTTATTACATGTGAATCGCGACTTATAATACGCGGTCGCGACTTATAACAAGCAATCGCGACTTATTATGTATAAATCGCTACTTATAACACGCAATCGCGACTTATTATGTTTAAATCGCTACTTATAACACGCGGTCGCCACTTATTATGTGAAATCGCGACTTATAATGCGCGATCTCGACTTATAATACGCGATCGCGACTTATGATGTTTAAATCGCTACTTATAACACGCGGTCGCCACTTATTATGTGAAATCACGACTTATAATGCGCGATCTCGACTTATAACACGCGATCGCGACTTATTATGTTTAAATCGCTACTTATAACACGCGGTCGCACCTTATTATGTATAAATCGCTACTTATAACACACGATCGCGACTTTTTATGTGAAATCGCGACTTATAATGCGCGATCGCGACTTAATATGTATAAATCGCCACTTACAACACGCAATCGCAACTTAGTGAGGATGATTGCCGAGCGATTACATATTGCAACATGTAATTATGTATAGCCTTTAATTGCATCCAAGATGGAGGAAAACTATGAGGGTATATGGATCAGACGTTCAGGAAGAAGACGTTGAACTGATGCGTTGGAATTGTATATGTAAAGGTACAACATTATTTGTTATATGTGTGTATGTGTATGTGTGTGTGTATGTGTATGTGTATGTGTATGTGTATGTGTATGTGTATGTGTATGTGTATGTGTATGTGTATGTGTATGTGTGTGTGTATGTGCATGTATGTGTATGTGTATGTGTATGCAGTGAGTCAGAACTCCATATTTGTACGTCTAGTACTACGTGATTCTTATTCCCACGAGGGAAGTGCAAGATTCGTCCAAGCATGTCTGTGAGGAAATGGAACAAACAAATATTGTAAAGAAATTTCAGTTTTGTTTTACATCCCATTTCCGTATTCAGACATCCCCGAATTCTCCCAGTTATCACAAGATATATAATAGGGCAATATGTACAATGAAAACAGCTTGCATGGACTACACACGTAAAAACGCACAAGCTAAGTTGTTACAGGTCTGCAAACAAGTTGTTACAAATCTGTTCACAAGCTGTTAACAAGTTGTGTTCGCACTGC